CGTCCAACCCGCACGTTCCACTCGCAGATGAGGGGTGGAGGGCGCAGGAGACGCCCTGGAGTAACGCTAAGCGTGCAAAGCACTTGCCGGTACCCCGCGCGCAGGGCACTCCCTGAAGGCCCCTTTCCCTCCGCCCCACTGGAGACGGCCAGGATCCTCCACCCCCCGCCCCCCCCCCCCCCCCCCAGGAGTCTTCCAGACTCCTTGCTCTTGTTCCACCACCAACCAGACTAGGGGTTCGGCTCACGCTGCCTTGTGGGGTAGACAAGCCCCCCCATCCCACGCCCCCCACCTCCTGCCACCAGACGAAAAGAGGCTGGTAGCCCCAGAATGTTCACAGAAATCGGCCCAGGGGCAGCATCTGGCCAGCAGGTCTTGAAGCGGCATTTCAAGGACACAGGTCTGTACTTAGAACGAATGCTGTTTGAGCGGTTGGGAGGCAGGGTCTCCCTCCCCACCAAGGCCCCCATCTAGACGCCGCTGCTGGGTGAGGGTCCCGGCCCCTGGCTGGTCTCCGCCTCTCGTCATTGTGAGCTCTCTGGTCAACCTCGGAGTCCCTTGGGGTTTCCTCCACGACGCCGCGTGGTCTGGAGACCCGACTCCGGAGCGCTGGGGCTTGGGCGCGAGACCCTCCCCTCCCAAGCCCGCCCCCGGCCTCCCGCCGCCCGGCCCCCCACGTAGCGTTTGGAACCAGCTTGGCGCTTAGGCAGGAACGAGCGCGGGGAGCGGGCAGGGCGAGCGGAGGCTCTAAATCTTCCTTCAACTGTGAGTAGATGAAGTCTGAGAAACAAATTCAAAGCAGGCGCGCCTGCAAAGCCTTCCTGCAGAAATATGCCCCGGCATTCAAGCGCATCCAGGGGCGGCTCGAGCTGCCTTGTTTGGCTAAGGTCAGACGAGACTCGAGTTCTCCAATAAAAATAAATCTCAAATTAATTATGGCCTCGAGCGAGGGGCCAGACACTTGAAGCTGCAGTTGTGCAGTCTGGAGTTTTGGCGCTCGCTCGCCCATCCCTCCCCCGCACCCCCCTCCCCCGACCCCCCTGCCAGCTCTAATACCCGCGGTGGCCGCTAGACGCGAGGGGAGGAGTGGAGGGAGGACGAAGGGGGAGGCTCCGCCCGGACGCTCGGCCAGGCAGGGCGTCGCTAGGGGTTTCAAGGGACCGGACCGTCCCGGGGGCCGGAGGTACCCCAGGGACCCAGCTCCGGTTGTCGCGTCCTCTCATCCCCGACTCTGGCTGGGACCGGAGAAGCCCGGGAAGCCGTGTCTGGAAAGTCTTGACCGGGTCAAAAGGGCTGACATTGAGCGAGCCAAGACACGTTTCACCCCGCCGCTCCCCTCCCTAGGGAAGCAGGACTTCCGCATCTGTGAAAATATTGTCACATTCGGAGGGTGCGAGGCAAGTCATCTCACCAAAGTTCCGATGAAAACGCTCCAAATCCAAGTGTTTCCTGAATATTCGCCGCCCCCCCCCCACCCTTCCACCACGCTTTCTATAAATGACCCTAGACTTTTTAGAGACGCGCGGTGGGCCTGTTCTTTTGGTACCCCTCCTTCCCAGCTGGTAGCTTTTGTTTCCAGTGTTGGACCGGCTTTGCCGGGTGTGAGCTCCCGTGACCTGGACGCCGGCGCCGCTGGTGGACTGGGCACCGGCAGTAGCCGGCACCGGCTCCTGGGCTGCAGCCCTGCCCAGTCTGGGAAAGGGAGAGGCAGAACAGTCTCTGGTAAGCCAGAGAAGAGGGTGTGTGCGAGTGTGTGGGCTGGGGTAAGCAGTCCCTGGCGAGGCCGCGAGGAGAGCGGCCAGGGAGGGAAGAGGAGAAAGGGAGGAAAGGAAGGGGGAAGAAGTAGGGTGAGGAGAGAGACACGAGGAGGGCCAGGGGAGGGCAAGGGCTCCCCCCTCCCCAGCTCCGGGACCGTTTTCATTTGTAGCAGGCCTCACCACAGGCTCTCTATCAATTTGTCTCAATGCAAACATTCGAAATATTCTCTTTGGCTGCTCGTGAAAACAATGTGAGCTGCCAGGATCAAACCATCTTTCCAGATGTCTGGTGGTAACCACATTAAACAGGGCAGACTTGTTTACTGTTGTGTTTGGTTAGGGTTTTTTCCCCCCCTTTGGGATTTAAAAAAGCAGCCGCAGCAGGAGAGTCGAGCATCAAATCCAGAGTTACATAAGTGGGCACGCTCACCCACCAGCATGTCAAAGAGGATGGTGTAGGGGGGGGCCTCCTATTCCCCCAGAGGCTGTTCAGAGTTGGAGGAAGGACTCTTTCTTCTGGGAAGAGGACCTGGCGGCGGGTGGACAGGAGGCCCTCATGAAGGCCCTGGTAAATAAGAGAAGGCATGGCACTAGTGCCAGTCGGTGAGTCACAAAGTGGTGACAGTTATGCCTGTGCCAGCCAGCTGCTCCCCTCCCCCCCCCCACCATCTTCAAAATTATGAAATTGCCATAGCTCTGGCTTTACAGGCAGAAACAGAAAGTGCTACTGAGTCCCCGTAGCTGAAACAGGAGGGCGAGTCCTCATTCTCCTGAGCAACATATTGAGCTCTCCCAATGGGACGGGCAGCCCCCCCCCCAAAGGAGACAGGGGCGCTTGGGGTGTTGAGGTAACTGCCATGGTCAATGAGGTGAAGTCAACCTGTCTCTTACCGGGCTGAAGAGGAGGTGGGGAGAGAGCGTAGCCAACGTTTCTGCAGTGCAGAGGCCTTGGCAAGAGCCAGGAGGGGCCTGTGCAGAAGGGGAGACTGGGGCTGGTGTGGGGTGGCCGTTGGTGGCCTCAGTGTGTGCCCAGCACCTGGAAGAGGGCCTCCCAAAGGTGGAGGTGGAGTCCCTTCTGCCTGAAAGAGGGGCAATGCGGCTGGGGGTGCCAGGTTTCGGGTCTTGTCCCTGTGGGAAGCGGTCTCCCCGCACCCTCCTGAAAGGCCTGTTGTCGTTTGAAGGTCGGCAGAGTCTGGGCTGAAAAGGAAACAATTTGGGGTTTGAAAGGATGTAATTCATTCTTCCTTTCCCTTTAACCTCTTTCCTCTCTGGAAAGCATGTGGAAACTCTGAAGGGAAGAGCGAGGGGCGGGTGGCTGGGCTGAGGGGAGGAAAGGGTTAAACCTGATTTCTTTTAATTGAACTCCAGAACTGGTGGCCCCAGGCAAAGGGGGGAACTGACCCCGCTAGCGGTAACCAGATGTGGCGGTCCCAGGGGAGCCCCGGAGCAGACCCCTGGATTGAGAAGCAGACAGGAGGTGGGGGGGTCGGCCCGGCCCCCATTCCACCCCCACCCCCCCACCCTACTCCCCCATACGCACACCGAGGCTCAATTGCTGGCAGGCTGCACCCGCCACTCCAGGTCTGGTCACGTTCAGACCCTTGTCTGTATTCGAACCCAAAATTGGAGCTGAATTGATGAGACTAATTTCGAGAGGGGGTGGGGGGAGGGGGAGGGAGGGAGGGAGGCGAGAGAGCTCTCGGGCTCAATTGCTCCTGAAGAAATAAAGAATTAATAAGTCACCTTTTTCGCCGCTGTGGACACCCTTTTGAAACTTTTTTCATTTCGATTGACTCGGATCTCCTCTGGATTTTTTTTTCCCTCCTTCCCCGGGTGGACTCTTAAATAAAAGTGAAAAGGTCCAAAGCGTGGTCTGCAGAGCGTGGACAAGGTAATCTGTTTCGGAGGTCGGGGAGAAGGGAGACAGGCCGAAAGCGCCCAGGGTCCCCTCGCTGCGCCCGGACTGCTGAGGCTGCCCCAATGGGAGCATGCGTCCCCACTGCTGGGGAACCGGGGGCCTCCGGGTGGCGGGGGCCGACCGGGCAGGCCAGGGGAGGCCGGCCTCACGCTGGGTGGGTATGTGGTCCAGGGCACGGGCCCCGGGATCTCACCGGGGAAAAGATCTGAGTCTGGGCCGCGACGTTGGGTGCTGCGCTCTGGCGACCTGCTGACCAGCGCGGAGGGAACGTCTCGCCAGAGTGGAGGTGTCCTGGGGCCCGGGTGGCAATGCGTAGGCGGCTTTGGTCTGGGCGCCCGGGCTTGGGCCATCGGGTCCGGGTTAGCACCAGGGATTTGACCCTAGAGGGCGCGGTTAGGTGGCCTAGGGTGTCGCTGGTCCCCGCCCTCGGGGGGAGCCCGGAGCTCTCCAGGAGAAGAGGGTCGAAGCGCTCCGCGGGGAGGGCGCCCCTCTGCTAACAATGCGCTGGGTGCGGAGTGCGCGTTCCCCACGGCCCGCGTCCGTCCGAAGCCGCCCCGAGTCCGCGTGGCTGTGTGGGGTGAGCCGCTCCGGGAGTCGGCAGCCACTCGGTAACCGAGTGCAGAGTGGAAAAATTCCCATTGGATGCATTTTGTAATGTTTGGTTTGCTTCGGTCTGCGTCTGGATCTTCCCGGGCAGTAGGCTCCAGCTTATCCCCAGCCGGAGTAAACTCTCCCGCCCCCCATCCCCCCAAAAAGTTTGACTCCGGCTGGAAAAAGCATTAATGAACGTATCTGTGGGAAGAAACGGAAAGTGAATGAGTCAGGAGGGCCACCTTCGGCCAACGGCCCCGCGAAAAGGAAGGAGGCCAAAGGCGTTTGGGTTTGGACTTTGGGGGAAGGTGTTGGGGGGCGGAGGGGGGGATGCAGACTGCGGGAATCAGGGCGCGGGCGCCGGGCGCGGACCCGGGCATTGTTCCCAGCTCGTTCTTATCTCTCTGGAGCAAGTATCCTGTGTGCGCAGCGCATGGATGTATCTGGGCATCTCTGCGTATATTTATATAGTGTGTGTGATGCGAAAAGCAGGAGCAGCGGAGTGGGGGGGAGAGTGGATGTGGGGGGAGGGAAGACGGAGGAGAGTAGAGAGAGGAGAGAGCTAGACGAGAGAGAGAGAGAGAGAGAGAGAGAGAGAGAGAGAGAGAGAGAGAGAGAGATAGGACTTCCTCCCGATTCGCAAAGTGAAGTCACTTCCCAAAATTAGCTGAAAAAAAAGTTTCATCCGGTTAAACTGTCTCTTTTTCAATCCGCTACAACAACAAACGTGCACAGGGGAGCGCGGGCAGGGCGCTCGTAGGGGGCACGCAGGGAGGGCCCAGGGCGCCGCGGAGGCCGCGCCCGGCTAATCCGAAGGGGCTGCGAGGTCAGGCTGTAACCGGGTCAATGTGTGGAATATTGGGGGGCTCGGCTGCAGACTTGGCCAAATGGACGGGACTATTAAGGTAAGAGACCAGGCGGTGGGCGCGGAGCGGCTGGGCCGACCAGGGCGGCGGGGCGGCGGGCGCCGGGGTCCCGGAAGACGTGGCCACTCTCCGTTGCTTCCGCGCCCGGCTTCGCTCCGTCTCCTCCCGCGCGCGGGTGGCAAGTCTCACTAGCCGGGGTTCCCCCTCCCGGCTCCCCCTCACCCCCCCGCCCGACGATCTCCCCTGCACCTCTGGCCCCAAAGCGGAGCCCGGCCCCCTCCCTCCGCGCTGCCACCCGGCTGCGGGAGAGGGCAGTTTGAATCCCGGGGGGGATCCTGGGCGCGGATCGGAGCCGGGGGCCCGATTTCTCGGGTCCATCACTCCCACGGGCAAGCAGAGCGCCCTGGCCCGGCGCTGGGTGCCCGTCTGCGGCCGGCTTCCCCCTCGCCCGAGGCTGGAGGCGGTGGGGGCGGAAGCTGCCGCCGCCACCAGCTCGGGTTCCTGCCTGGTGGGCCCTGGGGTGGGCAAGTGGATTGGCTGCAGGAGGATCGGGGTGCAAGTGAATGTTTCTGGGCTCTGTCTCGGCGGGCTCCTCCAAATGGAAGCCCTGTTTACATGTCAGCGCAGGCTGGTTTCCCTTCCTCTCGGTATTTCTGCTGCCGGTTCTCGACGCTCGGAGCCTGCGGCTCCCGGGACTAACGGGCCGACCTCGCCGCTTCCCCCGCAGGGCCAAGACGTCTCTGCAGCCTGGGTCCGCGCCGCGCCGCGCCCCGCTTTCGCACACCGCCTCAGGGTGGGCGCCTGCCCCGGGGAAGGGCTCCTGGGGTCTTTTCAAAGAAGGTCCCGTGCCCTTCAGAGCCGCCTCTCCTGAGGGGGCCAGCCGAACCCTGCCGTCAACCCCCACCTTCGCCCCACACCCCCAGCCTGGCTTCGGCTGCAAAGTGCAGCCCAGAGGGACGGCCGAGGGTCTGGGTTTCCTGTCCGACCTCAGAAGGGTTGACTGCCACCTTCCTCTAGAAGGGGAAGTGGGGCGAGGAGCAGAGAGAAGGGACACCCCCTAACGCGCCTGGCCTTAGAGGAGCGAGGGGAATGAATGGGACCGGGAGTCCGCTGGACCGCGAGGCGGTTGTGTAACACCAAGCAGGAGACTGTCTGGAAAAACTATTAAGCTGGTGAGGTGAACACTGGCAGAGCCCGCCATTCCCCCAGAACCCAGAAGGATCAGCTTCGGGCTCAGGGCTGAGGAAGAGAAAGCTAAGATGTTGAGCTTGGAGAATTCAAGAGATTTTTATCATTTGGGTGGAGTAGTGGTTTTTAAAGTTGTTTTTTTTTTTTCTGAAAGTTTGAAATATGCTGACTTAGGTCAAAGGCACCCACAGAAGGAACTTGAAAATCTGGAGATGAGACAACTGACTGGGACGGGTTAAAGGGTGCCTGTGTGAGGCTAGGTTCCTCAAGTTTGAAGTGGGCGGGCAAGGAGTGGGTGCGGGAGGGCTGCTGTAGGAAGGGTGTGGTGGTCAGTGGACATCGTAGGCTTTCTGTTCTTCACGTTGCTGAGTGCATGCAAGTGTCTCTGGGTTAGTAGTAGGGCTCTCCACTCTAGAAAACTCCTCCTCGTCAGGACACTCACCGCGTACCCAGAAGGCACCCTTCTGATCCGGAAGAGCAGTAACATGGCTCTGGGGTCTTGATGTAGACACCCTAAGGAGAAGTGAAGCAATTTCTTCTCCACGATGCTCAGACCTCTAAAACAGGCCCAGAACACAGGGAGGAAGCTGTGGTCTGTACCCAGGATGTGCTAATCTCTTTAGATATACACACAGGGATTGGCATGGTGGGCAGTGAGAACTGGCTTTGACCAAGACCCTGGCGCTTCACGCCAAGGATTCAGTGGAAGGTCCTCTTTCTCATGTGGGTGGCGGGAGCCTGGGAGTCCCTCCAAAAGCTCCCCAGGAACACCCTGGTCCCTGATCCTGGTGACCTGGCTATGCAGACCTACCCTCAGGTCAGTGGCTTGTCAAGCCATTTTCAGTCCCTGAAGTTCTGAAGGATTGAGCCTTTAAGTGTATACTTTGGTATTGAAGTTGCCTGAAAGCCACAGTTTCCTGTTCACATGTGACCTTTGGATATTGAGGTCCCTGGGCCCCACTTCCACAATGGTTTAGACACTGTTCTTGGAGAGGAGAGTGGGCAAAAAGAGGTCAGCTAACTCCTGGTCTCTGTGTGAGAATACACAGTTCATTAAATCTGTTTGAGTTTCAGAATCATTGCAAAAGTGAAACAGTAGAACTAAATTAGCTCTACAACAGTATCTTTTCCAACCCTCTCTTCTTAAAATATTGTAGTCATACATTCTTACAAGAGTATGTACTGACATGTCTATGAACTCCAGTTCTGTACTGATTGAGGTCTGAGAGATCTATGGATCATATCTAATCTGTAGACACAAATCCAGAATGGGTGTTCCCAGTTTGAATGCTTGAAAACCCATCTTTGAGTAATTGTGAGATGTGATTTTTAGGCACCTGCATATTTCTTCCTCAGATGGAAGGTATGTCTCTCTTTCAAAAGGCCTGTCAGTCTCGGCACTGAGAAGGTATTCGGTTCAGGATGCCAGAGAAGTCTGGAGTTCTTTGCAGGAGCCCTTTATTTTGTGCATAATTCCATCTGATTCCAAAATTTCTATGTTACTGCCCTTGTTATAATAGGTCCTCCTGTATCGTGTCTTCTTCTCATTTCTAAGAGCATTTCCTGGGAAGGCTCCGAGCATCATGTCGTGAGCATCAACGTTTGTGGGGGCTATTCCACTCTTTTTCTGCCATAGAGAGTTAACCTGCAGTATTAAACAACACCCTACCCCGCCCCTGCTCCCCACAGTGATATTATCAGTGTTGAAAAGCACATGATACTGTTTGCTGCTCTAAGAAATGACCTGGTTTCAAAAAATGCATCTTAGTGCTAAGCAGTCTTCAATCGAGTCTAATTATTTCATCTGTGGAAGCTTGATTCAGTGCCCACGGTGTCCTCAAAGATGGCGACACAATCAAAGAAGACACAGATATAGTGAATGAAATAGGGAAACAAGGAGCAGACTTGGAGTCAGGAAACTTGGGTTCATTCTCAGCTCTGCTGCTTCGTTGCTGATTATGCTACAGCAGGACACATAGCTCCTTGAGTCTCCGTTTCCTCATCTGTGAATTGGGGCCAAAGTACGTCCCTAAGTCACAGTAAAGACCACATAAAGTCTGTGCGTTCGTTGAATGCACATTGGTTGCATTTCTCCTTGTGGACTGGTCTTCTGGGGTTTGGTTGGTTAGAAAATTAGATCATAGGTCTGGACTGACCATAATACCTGTTTAATTAATTTAATGAATATTAACTGTGCATTTTTTATGCTCCAAGGCTCAAAAGTCATGCTTTATGTGTTGAGAATAGAACAGGGAATTTATACTCCATTGGAGGTGACAAGACCTGTAAATAAATAATTCTATGTCCAGAGATGACGTATCTTCTGAGGAACAGTAAAGCAAGTTAGGGGATACAAAGTGATGTAGCGCCCTGACCAGTGTGGCTGGATGGGTTGGGTGTCCTCCCACAAAGCAAAAGGTCACCGGTTTGGTTGCGGGTTCAGTCCCCATTGGTCGGGGTGTGTAGCAGACGCACAACAGATCACTGTTTCTCTCACATTGATTTCGCTCCCTCTCTTCTTCTTTCCTTTCCTCTCTCTCTAAAAATAAATAAATAGAACCTTAAAAAAAAAAAAAAGGCAATGTAGCTGTATCAGCCAGGATGGTCGGGGAAGATGTTTTGACGAAAGTCCAATTGAGGAGGCCTATTCAGTTTTCGTCCTTTACCTCAGGAAAGTATAGGAACACACAGCCAGCAAGTGATGAAAGAGCAAACTGGGAAAGAAAGGTTGAGATTAAAGCAGGATTCTGCACACCAGCAGAGTTTCTGTGCCAGACAGGTCCAGGAGGGTCGGTCGCCGCCGATGGGACAGTGCTTGTCCAGTGGGGCCACTTCAGGAGGGCACAGTACCTTGAGGAGAGCAGCAGAGGAAAGGATGCTTGGGAACAGAGACTGTGCTGTCCTCAAAAAGGGATGCTGCCTTCACTCTGAAGAGTCAATACCCACGTGCATCTTTTTACCTGCTTATCACCTAGGTTCATTTATCTGTCCCCATGACCGCATAGAAGAGCTTCCCCCAGGTAATTACCGAATGGCAAATGGGTAATTTTGGGGTTTATTTTTGTGAATAACTTCTACAAAAAAGCTTCCTTCAACTTCTGCGGCTATTCCAATTTAAGTTTACAGGTTTGTAAATTTAGAGACAATTTAGCTTGATATTCTCATGTTATGGGTGGGTTAAGGCCCAGAGTTGTTTAATAAATTGCTCAAGGCCCCACAGATAACTGAAGCAGGGTGAGAATTCAGGGCTCCTAACCCTCAGGTTAATGTTCTTTCCACCATACCATGGAGATGTCATTCACTTTCATTTCATTATTATGAATTATAGGGTCCTGGAGGCAGTGTGAGTTTATGTAGGTGTGTGTGCATAAGACAGACAGACAGAGACAGAGAAAGGTTTTTAAAACTCATGGAGAATTTGGCACTTTGGAATAAAGACACTTCTATTCTTTGATGAAAAATGTATTACTACCACCTTGAATTATTTCCATACTTTAAAAATTTCCAGATTTTCAGATAGGATTTTTTGCATAACTGTTTTCTAAAATACATTCTTCTTTTTCGGTAGACAAACAGGATCTCCATTACCAGAAGACAACAAAAAAATATATAGTATTTTACTTAAATAGCCAATAGGCACCTTTATAGACAAGGGGCAGGTAGACTGAATTTTTGTTTTGATTCTTTTAATAATTGACTGTTTGACTATGTAAATGTAATACATTCAAATGTATTAGGACTTACGTCATGGACCCCTCCTCCAGGCTGTGTAGTAAACAGGTCTTGAATAACAACCACATTAACTAAGATTTAAGATTTCAATGTCTTCTGTTTGGGGTCAACCAGTTAAC